AGGAGCTCTTGATGATGGAGATGACCACCCTAGAGAGGATCACACTACTACTACTGTCTTGCTAAATGGGCATGTTGTCAAACTATACTCTAAATATTTGTGTTTATACACAAAAATGTATGCTTCCTTTAACCTTGGCCACGGAAACTTCTCCTGCATTAGTCAGCAGTCAATGCAGTGACTCATAACTGACTATTGTAGGGGAGTAGGTGACTATTGGGTGCTCAGCCCTAAACGGCACACCTGTATCAACACTCACCCCCTCCAAGGCTCAGGAGGCATCACAGAAGAGGAGGTGGAAAGAGTGTATGAAGTGGACGATGGGGACATGTGCTGTGGAATGTGTCTTCTGGACATGGCATGACTGTTGCACACATGAACTCACCACGGCTGTGGCTACATGCACAAGACCAATCAGTGAGATCAGTCAACATTCCAAAAGGTAGCACCAACTGTACTCAGTGGGTTACCAAAAATAAAAGAGGAAATGAAGGAGGGAGGCAGAGATTTTAGAGTGTCTGGAGGGAGGAGCTGAGGTGTGTATGATCAAAATACATTGTTTACATGCATGAAATTGTCCAAGAAGACATACCAATACACACACACAGACCCTGACCAGGAATCAGATGCCACCCTATACATAGAACATCACAGATGGTACTTTGAAAGGGGAAGAAGCAGATGCTGTAGATTTAGAAGCCTGGGATACTATGGAATATACTAGAAAGGACTTAGTGGGGTCCAAGCAAGTGCAAATGCCACATGATAAACGAGATATTATCGTAGACCTGATTTCAGGCAGCACTTTTTTGTCATTAAAGATCGGAAGCTTTTCCATTTAAAGGAAGGAAGGTCTTTGTATTAGATGTTTTCCCCATTACTGTAACAGGATACCCAACAGAATCATCCTGCCACACTAGGAGAGGCATGGGGGCAGGACTGTGGAGGCTGGAGCCTCTTGTTTACATCATGGCAGATCAGAAGTAGAGAAGGGGAAATGCTGGAACTCAGTCTGTGTCTGTGTGTGTGTCTGTGTGTGTGTGTGTGTCTGTGTGTGTGTGTGTGTCTGTGTGTGTGTGTGTGTCTGTGTGTGTGTGTGTGTCTGTGTGTGTGTGCGCGCGCGCGTGCGCCTCACTACTGATCCTGACCTTTTGTTTGTTTGTTTGTTTGTTTTGGTTTTTCGAGACAGAGTTTCTCTGTGTAGCTTTGGAGCCTATCCTGGCACTCGCTCTGTAGACCAACCAGGCTGGCCTCGAACTCACAGAGATCTGCCTGCCTCTGCCTCCCAAGTGCCGGGATTAAAGGTGTGTGCCACCAACACCTAGCTAATCCTGGCCTTTCTTAATCCAACAAGGTGACAACAGAAATTTGTCCTTAGGGACCTGCTGACTCAGCAGTTAAGAACCACAGGCCAGAGCTCTTGAAAACTATCAAAGGGTTCCATGCATCTATCCTTTCTTGTTGAAAAGCTTGGTCAACATTAACAGGTGAGGGAAGAAAAGAGTTAATAGGATCCAGTTATGGCTTTACTTTTTTTTTTTTAATTAAAATTTGTAAGCTTAAAACAAAAGTTTTAAAAAATGCCTCGTAACATTCTCCTAAATCCCAAGCAATCAGAACATTCACTTCTCAGTGGCTTGAAAAGCCCTGGAAAGTCAGGAATGAGCGCAAAGTGTTCACACGGCCATCATTTAGACTTAGAGCCCAGTGCTACATGTATTATGACGGTAGTAATACTAAATGCCTTTTAAAAACCATTTAATACCTTCTACAATTTTTATGGTGCATCAAATTACTAGGTTATTCTCGTGGAAGAAAATTGTCTACATCTAACACAGCTACACATAAAATGAATAATTGATAAGCGAGGGCAAAGAGCTCTGAAAACCTAGAGGTATCATATGGATGATAAAAAATCATGTAGACAGACAACCAGTGCTCAGAAACCCAGCAGCTCTTCAGTAAAGAACAATCAGGGAGATTGGACAAATGCCTGTGTGGGTTTAATTCCTCCTGGGAAACTGCTCCAAAGGTACTCTGCCCACCTTTGACAAAAGGCCACAGTTTCAGAACAAAGCCAGTCAATATGAGGTTACAGAGCACCAGGCAGTGTGTGCAAATGTAATTCAGTCTCTGGTTTAGAAAGCATCATTATAAACAGGTACCCTGGGCTCTCTGTGACTAAAGGCTCCACTTTGACAAGTGTCCAGTGACCACTGGTGACCCCACCAACACTGCACTCTACATCTACTGGTATCTTTAGCAACCAGCCTGAGCACCCCAGACTGACATTCCGTGTGAGAACTCCTCCTTCCCGGAGCTCGGAGCAAGGACCAATATGTCACTGTCCTGATGCAGTGAAATATTGACTGCAGTTAAGTCATACATTTCAATGTAGATCTTCAACATATCGACCTTTTTGCTTTGACCATTTTTTATGAGACATCGAACTGTATTGTGAAAAATTATTTTTGCATAGACCTCAAAACAACTAATCATTTCCCCTTCTTTTTTCCCATCAGAGGCTTGTGGAATCAAAACCGGGGTGACAGTTTCTAAAATACGCTAGTGCTAGCACATTCTTCAAGTAACTCACTGCCATTAGCTGCCGGCAGGCCTTGGAAGAGACAGTTTCACACTCTCCCAATTTTGTCTATGTTCTTGCCACTTCTACCAGGGGTGAAATTAAATTGGCTGTGTAACTACTCAGTCCCCTTAATCAGGGAACTATTTTTTATGCCCTTGAAAATCCTGGATGCTTTACAGTTCTCTCTACCCTTTTACTCAATACCTTCTCTTCTTCCAGGAGCCTTTCTTCTTTTCCATTCAAACTGGCAGGATTTGCCCTTAAGGAGTTTATAAAGAAACTTCTGGGGCATACTTAAGAAGATTAAGGTCCAAGAACATTAGTAAAAAATACATAAATTTGACTAAAGGCAGACACATGCACTTCCTTACAAGGAATACCCAGAGGGAAAGCCTACCAGAAGAGTCAACAAACAGGACAGGTCTTACACAGACACCTTGAATGTGATTTCCTGAAGGCATAATCCTTCCCATTTAGATGACCTTAATCTACTTTGCTTCCAACACAGTCAATCTGTTCATCCTAAAACATAAAAGCCAGGTGTAACATTACAAAAAGCCAGACAGAAAAATAAAAGGAAAAGGCAAAGCTGACTGTCCTCCACATCACCTCTGGAGGGTTTCCCACTGGGGCTGGGCTAGGCAAAGACTGGAGGAAGCACCTGCTACGGTTTCCATCTAGAATGTCCCCTAAGGCTTATGTTTTGAGCACTGGGGTTCACCACAGCTTTTGAAGCTATTGTGACAGTGTACAGCTTTTTAACAAATGGGGTTCACCTAGCAAAATGAGCCACTGAGGTCATACCTCCTCACAGTTCTGTAGAGGTTGGCTTCTAGTCCACCAGATATGAACAGACACTAACCACCTTACACTACCAAGGCCAAGGACAGAGCCACCCCCAATACCATGCCATCCCCACCATGATGGAATAAAGTCCCTTTCAAACTGAGAGCTCCAGTAAACCTTTCCTCCAAGCCCACCTTTCCTGGACCACACCTTTAATCCCAGCACTGTGGAGGCAGAGGCAGGCAGATCTCTGAGTTCAAAACCAGCCTAGTCTACAAGGGAGTTCCAGGACAGCCAAGGCTACACACAGAAAAACCCTGTCTCCAAAAGCCAAAAACAACAAAAAAACCCTTTCTTCCCGTAAGTCATATCTGTCAGTCTGGTCACAACAACAGCAACTAACATAGCATCCTCTCCTAATTTCAAGGTAAATAGCCAAAGAGCCAAGGCAAGGCCTTCATTTCTATTACTGCTGCCTTTGGTTCTGAACATGGCCCACGGTGAGATGACAGACCCAAGCAATAGGAAGAGGAGTCTCACCATCCACCTCGCGATGCCCAGCTTGGTCTCAAACCAGCTTCCCAGAGATGAACTTGACCATGAGGCAAGAGGAATCATTGCTTGGTTAGCATAAGCTTCACTTAGCAAGCTGCCTCCACTTTCCCAAAGAAAAGGAACAACCTACAGAGCCACCTCACGTGTGTCCCTGCTGTCTCTGCAAAGGGCTGTGGCCTTCATTGCATGCTCTGGTGTCTACAGGCTCTCGGGCCCCTGGGAAGTACACCAGACTCACAAAGACAGCAAGGGCCAGCACTCAGGACCAGCCTGTATAACAATGCCTATGCTTCCATCAGTGGCTCTCTTTGAAACTTAAGAGGATGGGAACAGGAGGCGCTGGAGAGAAGCCTCAGCTCTTAACCGCACTCACTGCTCCAGAGGTAGACCCAGGTTTGATTCTCAGCACCCACATCAGGCAGCCCACAAACATCTGTAGCTCCAGTTATAAGGGACCTGACACCCCCTTCTGGCCTCTGCAGTCACTTGTAATATGTATTGCAAGATATTTGATTGCACTGTGTATGTCGCTGTGATTGGTTTAATAAAAAAATGAATGGCCATTAGCGAGGCAGAATTTTCAGGGCAGAGAGGATGCTGGGAAGGAAAGAGTTTCAAAAAAGAGGCAGAAGACGCAGCATGGGCTTTACAAAGCAAAGGTAACCGAGCCATGGAAAAGAACAAAGGTTAAATGATATGGATTAATTTAAGTAATAAGAACTAGTTAGAAACAAGCCTAAGCTACCGGCTGAGCTTTCATAATTAATAAGAAGTCTCTGTGTCATGTTTTGGGAGCCAGCTGGCGGGATAAAGACTCAGTACACCTAAGTAGTGCATATAAACTCATGCAGGCACAATGCATGTACATAAAGATAAAAATATAAATCTTAAAAGGAGATAAAATTATCAAAGAAGTAATTACAACACTGTTTAAAAGAGGAGGAAACAGGAAGACAGGGTAGTTCATGACAAAATTTTTTCCCTTTCTACCCGTTGATGACTAAAAGGGTCTTTCCTAAGTTTTTCAATGAAGCACTCAACTACGACAAGATGCAATCTGAGGATACCTTACCATAGGGATATTTAGTATCCAGCTTATTTTCTGCTGTTCTCCTCCAAGGCAACAGGTCATCGCTGCACCCATTTGGCATTCCATTGTACCCGATCCCAACGATCTTGTTTTCCGTATTCACAATGCAGGCTCCAACCTAGAGAGAAACATTGCCCAAAGGTTTGGTAACCACTGGGGAGGTGGCACAGAAGCATGAGGGAACACCCCACAAAGGTCAGCAGATTACAGCTGCAGTTTTTAACCTGTTCTTTGTGTCTATCTATGCAAGTATCTGAACATCCGCCTACAAAACCGCTTTACCTGGGAACTTGGATCCTTGCTTCTTTGGGCTGATAAGAAGGCCACCGCCATGAAATACTCAGGCCATTCCAGATAGTCATCCCGTTTTTTGCAGGAACTGTCACTCATGTTGGGTCTAGAAGTCATTTGCCACTAAACATGGGGAAGAACAAATTGTCAGTCTGCTTTCCAAAGAAAGGCATCGGCCCTAACCCCTGGGCAATGTCAGCTGTACTTACTAAACAGAAATCACAAAACATGGGTCCTACCCACTTTAAGAGCCTCACTTCTAGCTAAAGCAGTCATTAGTTCTGGGTCTTATAGACCCAGAACTCAGGAAATTTGCCCTCCAGGCCCAGTGTAAATAAATAAAAAAATAACATTTGAAATGAGGCCAGTTCGGGAACTAAACAGGTGATCTGTCCCTTTCAAATGGGAAAAAATAAAAATAAAATGCCAATGCTAAAGCCAGGTTCTGTAACGAGGGCTTTAGGGCCAGGTCTAGATGGTCTCTACAATGGGGGAAGAGGTGGGAGGAGACACAGAACTTCAGCTAGGAGAATCCACTCACAAACTAGGGGAAGGACAGCAATACAGGGTCACCCTATTTACTGAGAAATCTTAAGGTGGGAATTTCCCAAACTCCCCGTTCAGACTTCAGGACAATATCTAGCAGTGGAAGGCAGATACGAGGAAGCACAAATAATAGCCAACGGCTCGGTCGCCCTTGCAACCCTGCTTAACAGGGAGACTTCCTGACTGGACTTGCTTCCCGCCTGCTTTAAGGTTTGGAGGGGGATGGGAAGGCACCACCGGCTGACAGGCTTGAGAAAACTCCCTGGGGCTCTGCACCCACCCACGAGCAGCTTCAAAACGAGGAAACTGAGGCTGAGATGTCACCAGTCCAGGGAGAAACCGCTCCACCACAGCCCGGAAAGGACGCACAGTCCTGGCAACTCCCCTCCAACTCTGCTCCAGCTTCTCAAGTCTCCAGCATGCCCACCACGTGGACGCCAGCAGACTCGGGGAGCTCCCTCCCTCCTCCGTGGCGAGCCCGCCCACGAGTGGCCACGCACGTGCA